CAATTTCGCAAAAGCCTGCCGTGTGATACGCGCGATAGCGGGCGGAGCAAAACTGGTGTTTTACATAAGCGGTGCTAAAAAGTGATTTTTAAAGCAAGGCTTGTTATTTTTAAGTGTATACGGCTGGCTTCTTGCTTTCAGTTAGCTAGAGGGCTGGTACAACTTCTCACTAGAAGAGAACGGGATTCGACCCTATTTGCCAATTCTGGAGTGGAAAATTGAAGTTCTCCTCGCTTGCTCCGAAATCCACCCTGGGCCGAACGAAAAGATTTACGCTCATTTCGGGTGCGATCGGGAAAGTTTTGAAACGTGCAAAGTCTCAACAGTGTCTGCTTTGAGATTCAACATTTTTGGTGCCAGTAGTTTGGTGCATTACGACGCATTTTTCGAAAATATAAAAAATCGCATTGTCGCCAATGGATTAAATAATAGAAAAAATTAGCATGGAATCAGATGTTATCGACTATCATGCGACTATTTTCCATTCGTTTAGACAAAGCATAGCCACGAGGAAAATTACAAGAAATCGCGGAATTTGCACATGGTGCGGTAACTCCGGGGCATTCAGTGATTTCACAGAAAAGTTCAGCGTCTAGGCGGTCAAAAATTTTCGGGAGCGCTGTTCACTTTTCCTTCAGCTCTCAGCTACATCCATAACTTGCAAAAACCCTATGAAATTCCCTTCCTTTCTTTGACGTTTGACAACCTGGGGGCATATTATTGTTTTAAGGCCAAAATTATGACGACCAAGACATGGTGTCGCTAAAAACGCATGGTAGCTTGATGGATCAAACAAACTCCAGAGAAGTGTTTTTAACTCATCTTTAACAACCTGCCCCGTTTAGAAGAGCCTTCAGATGAAGGGGATGGCGCGTGCGGTGGCACGCAACTGAGGCGTGTCAAAATGTTTCCAGGCCTTCTGCTCTGCTTTCTTCAGGGAATCAAAGTTTTGTGGGGCATTTATTTGCGCTTGCATCCAGGGTGTAAAATACAGAAATCTAGAGCTATTAGGTGGAAGGTTCCATTGTAACAATTCGAAAGCAACGAACTCGAAAAATCGCTTTTTAGAGAATTTTTGCTTTATTCTTGGGTGCTCGGTCCTGTAAGAAGTCCCAAGTAGACTACTCGTGTGGCTTTCTATCCACTACAGATGTGGAGTCTTTAGAGTGTCTGGGTTTTCACATCAATTTTTTCATTTTGGGTGTACGAAAGTCGACAAGGGGAGACCTAGTTTCTGCATCTGATAATTATCCTGGTGGTAACTGTTTCGAGTCTGCCGAATTTTCCATCTGTGATGGTTCCAAATTTATTGAAGAATTGAATTTATTGTCGAACTGTTGCCTATAGGAGCTTTCCTGATACGTTAGACTGCCGCTAGATGTATGTAACGTGCAGAGCCCTTAGTGGCACAGAGTGCACAGAAAAGGAGATGAAAAAGGAACGACTCTGAAAAAAGTGGATATGACCGCGTGCGCACCCGGTTCCTCATAATTTTCGCCCACCCTGTACGAAGGGGTTGTTTTGGGTCTAAACAGCGAACACAGCCAGTGCTTACAAACAAACAGGCAGACAGACAGACATCAACCTTTCTCACTTTTTGTACATGGTAAAAAAGAGATGTTTTGATCCCACCTTTTATTATATGCATATCAATAGATTAATCCCCCTGTCAACCGCCGGGAACTTCCCTTCCTGCGTAGGCTCTACGTCTTCCACCTGTGACACCAGCACCCCGTGGAGGTTATGCGTCTGCAACAAC